TGAACTATGCAGGCAGGTAGGCACACTGTGACACACACGCAGGCACGCACGCACGCACACACGTGTAGCCACACACTTCAACCATCCTGGCACCCAATAATGGCAGACGAAATGATAAATAACAATATCATGTGGCCATCAAAAGGCATTTCAGATGGGTGTATGGTGCCACCTACTTCGCGTCTCAGACTACCTAAAACCTGTAGGGAGTTTAATACGACTAAACTAAACATAGAAAACGGCTCGCGATCGCTTTACAGAGCAAATAATAAACTGCACGAAAACATATGTGCGCCAGCGGGATACTTTTATTGGTTAATAAATTCTATAATTTCATAGGTTAGCTCATCCAATCATCCAACATTGTGAATACCACACAGCACGTTCCTGCCAACACACTAAGCAAAACCCTAGTAGAGCAAGTCGCATCTTGAATAAATGTCACGCCACTGTCTAAGCGGCGCAATTATGTGGGTGTCAATATTACCCAGCATTGCCAATGCCTGACAACACGCTGCCACCGAGAGAGAAACGATCGTAATTCATTTCGTATTAAACGGCCCATTCAGAAGTAATTACTGTGGGCAAATGATGGCCAACGATGGCGCGATTATCTCGGTAGAAATTCGCAGCAATAATCTTAGCATCTAGACTCAACGACTTAAAACACTCAAATGCCCATCGCCGCAAGTCTTTAGAGAGCACTTATTCCAGACCAAATTATTTGTAAAATTCACAGCAAGGCTTTTACACAGTAGTAAACATTTACAATCTGGATAAAATACAACAAAAGCAGAAGTAAAGCAGCAGCTACATTAACCTATATAGTATTATCATCATCATCATCACCAGCAGCAGCAGCACCACCACAACCACCACCAGCATCAGCAGCAGCAGCAGCAGCAGTACCACCACCACCACCACGACGATCAACACCAACATCATCAGCAGCATCACCGCCACCACTGCCGCCACTGCCGCCGCCACCAATACCACCACCACCACCACCACCAGCAGCAGCAGTGATGGACATGGCAGGTGACCGGTGATTGACGATGGAGCGCTAGCTTACCTGTCTGTCGGAGGTAGGCGTCTGTCGTAGAGGCGCACCAGCCCGTCCCCGCAGCCAGCGACGAGCAGCGAGCGGTTGGAACTATCACAGGTGATACTCGTAATGCAGCTGTTTGCCTGCGTCGGTATGTCCTGCGCAAGCAAACACACGAAAACGCATCACGATTTCACACTCTCTAATGCATTGTGCATGCGTGTGTGCCTATGTGCGTGCGTGTGCACGCATGAATATTATGGTAGAATACATCATTTTATAGATTTATATTGTTCATACCTACATGGTACATGCGCCACCTAACCTAATTTATCACGTCACCTAACTATTCTATATACCAGCTCACCTAAACCTTATACTACATGCACTAGCTCACCTAAACCCTATACTACATGCACTAGCTCACCTATAACTTATACATGTAGCCGCTCACCTAACACCTAAACCCTTTACGAACCACCTCACGTAAATCATGTACCACCGCACTGGATTACCGCCTATCGTACACCTGCCAACATACCTGCGCCTTCATCTCCTTCTGAGAGTCGTATATTCGAATGACGCGCACATCACCGGAGGCGTACAGGTAGTTAGTCTCCTGCTCCCATGCCGTCACCATCCCCGACCCCGTGTGTCTCGCTCCAAACACTGCCGAAGACAGACGCAGCGGCAGAAATTAACTTTTGCACACGGGAGTCCAACGGACTCCCTACCCACAAAAAGAGGGAGTCCGCAGCAAAATGAGGGAATCCGTAGTCTGAAGTTCAAAATTAAAGATATTAAAACATTAACGCATTTTTAAGATTCATGCGGTTGCACATCTGCCAAATTTTCTTTGGAAATTAGCTGAAAAAATACGGTTAATTCCGTGAGGCCGTGCTCTGGAACGAACTAGTTAGTATGGCAGAATTTTCAGGGAGTCACACGGACTCCTGCATATGTCAAATCACAAGAATCAGGGAGTCCGGCAGTAAGTCAGGGAGTATTTGACTCCGGACTCGACTTAATTTCGCATCCTGCAGACGGTAAGACGACATCGTGTTAGCATGGAACTGGTTGTTACACGTGCGCATGCCGTGAACAGTGAAAGGATTCTAACAACAACTGCATGCCCACGAAGTGTACTGCTGAAAGTACACACTGACATCTAGTGGCAGCCTATAAAAGTTTCTGTATATACATGTACTATTATTACCATTATTATTATTATTATTAATACTGTATTTATTGATTTGACATTATTACTATTATCATATTTATTGATTTAATGCAGGTATACTGGTAAAAGCATGAACATGGGCTTGCAAGGTCCTCCCCAGCACAATTACACATTTACATCTCGATGCACCGATCACAGATGTATCACTTAACAAGCGACAGTGAGTTGCGACTGACCTCGCGTGGAGGGCAGCATGTCTGACAGTGCTTGCCAGGCCGTGACTAGATGCAAGCCAGTATTGTTCTCTGTGCAGTAGTTCTTCCACACTCTCACGGCACCGTCATCTGATAATAAAAAATCCCGATCGTACGGTTATTGCATCACGTAAAATAGCGTCCAGCAATCGTGATCGCGGCTCCCCTACCACGCCCGCTGTACACACGGTACAGCGCGTTTGATACAGACATTGCGTCGACTCGTGACAGCAGAGTATGGGTGTGTTGGCTGGCGATGACACACGTACGTGCCCACATCTGATCAGTGGTTCGACCAATGACAGCCAACAAGACCAACGTCGATCGGGTACACGCACGCGAATCTGACGTGACATCTTGAGGCGAGTCTGAGGTGTGGAGGAGCTAAAGTTGGCAGAGGAAGAAGTGTTGGGGGTAGAGGAAAAGAAGGACGAGTGGGGAAGACAAGGAGGAGAGAGGGGGAGGAAGAGGACGACGAGAAGGAGAAGGTTGAGGGGAGGAGAAGGTAGACAAGATATGTGAGGACAGTGAAGGGTCGTGGCAAAGCATGCAGATGTAGTCTATATGTAGTCATCACACGTTGGCAAATCCGTGCACGTTTACGCATACTTTCACCCATAAACCCGAATTTCGGGAAAAGTCCTCGAGAATGCAATCAGATTTTCTAAATAGACGTGACACAGATACAATGCGTCAGGTGGGGAGAGCAGATGACATGGAGGTTTACCTGTGCCAGTGAGCAGTAGTGTGCTGTCATGTCCGTTGATGATTTCCATCGTTGAGATCTGTGTGAACTTCGGATTCTTGTTGTAGAAGTAGTTCTTCTTGATGCCCTGTTCCCAGTTCCACGTACTGCAAGAAGACACAAGAGGTCTTTACAACAACAACGACAACAATAATAACTTCTTTTTTTTATTATATTAATAACAATAATAGTAATACCTGGTATGTTATAAGTAATATACAAAATACAGAACAATTACAGAAATGGCTTCCTTTCATGTGACACTGACAACAATTACCTGATGCTGTCCTTGTATGTGACACTGACAATTACCTGATGCTGTCCTTGTATGTGACACCAACAATTACCTGATGATGTCCTTGTATGTGACACTGACAATTACCTGATGCTGTCCTTGTACGTGACACTGACAATTACCTGATGCTGTCCTTTCATGTGACACCGACAATGATCACCAGACTTTCTGTCACCGTTCTTTCATGTGACAACAACAAATATACACGACCTCGTTTCCGCTACGTGACGACGACGAGAATTACCTGATGCCGTCCTTGTCGGCAACGCAGACGAGCGGTTCGTACGGGTGGAAGCGCACGCACGTCGGCACGTTCGGGTTCTTGTTGATGAAGCGCTGGTCGTCGAGGCGATGCAGCATCGCCGCGCCACACTTGTTGAGCGCATCGGCGCGCATCACCTCGTTGCGCTCGTAGCGCCACTCGCGCTGCTGGTGCCGCTCACTCTGCGGGTCCTGCTCGTCCGGAAGCTGGAAACGACGAAGCCGCGACGTCAAACTTCGCGCGTCAGCTACGCAGCAGTCCCAGCCCGGGCTGCACCGGGCATCGGTGGCTCCCGTGTGGTTTGACGTCGTCGAATTCATGTAGGGGAGCCACTGACGCCGCACTCACGCACGTGGCTGGTGACGGTGGCTCCACCTGTATGACGTCAAAGCCGTGTAGGGGGAGCTACTGACACCGCACTAACGCACGTGGCTCGTGACGGTGGTTCCCCCTGCATGACGTTGAAGCCACGTAGGGGGGAGCCACAAACATCGTACCCATGCAGGTGTGCCCACTGAGTGTTTACTACGGGCAGGATAGGGAATTTTCCACGCGAGTATCACCTCACGAAACAAATTAATTTGAAGACGAATCAAAAATATTCACAGATAGAAGTTTTAAAATTTAATGCCCATATTATATGATGAATTTTATAACATTACTGAAATAACATTAAATTACATTACATTAAGGTATTGCTGAAATATTTATCCACACTCAACGATCCACGATCAACAGGAGGGGGTAGCTAGGTGACAATTAACCTACTATCTACCTGGCACGTTTAATAGGCATCCCTAATCCAATCAGTGTGGCAATAAGACTGAAAAGGCCACCGTTATAAGATGTTTAGTAACGAAGTTACACAAAGTTGTAACACGTGGTGTGCACTGCGTACAAACTAGATGAACTTGACCAGTGACGACCCAACAAGAGCAGTAATTAATTGAGATTATCACGCTCAGGCAGGTAGGTCAATTGCCCTGTGTCACCCACTGATCGCACACCTTCATTAATGACTGACTGAAATGACGACAGCTCCAGGCGACAAACTCTGTCGCTATCACCGGCTCCTTCTTGAGTGGGGTGCCATCTTCGGATATGCAGTCTTCCTTTATCTGATGATAAGTAAAAAGCTATAAGCATCCATACATTAATGCTGCTAATGGACTTAGTGGTGGAGAGAGCACAAATAGATGCCCAGCAAGAGAGAGAGAGAGAGAGAGAGAGAGAGAGAGAGAGAGAGAGAGAGAGAGAGAGAAAGCAAAAGAGAGAGAAAGCGGGAGAGAGGGGAGGGGGAGGGAGGGAGGAAGGAAAGGAGGTAGGGAGGGATGGAGGGAGGAAGGGAAGGAGGTAGGGAGGGATGGAGGGAGGAAGGGAAGGAGGTACGAAGGGATGGAGGAAGGAAGGGAAGGAGGTAGGGAGGGAGAGAGGGGGGTAGGGAAGGAGGTAGGAAGGGATGGAGGGAGGAAGGGAAGGAGGGAGGGAGGGATGGAGGGAGGAAGGGAGGGAAGTAGAAAGGGAGGGAGGGAGGAAGGGAAGGAGGTAGGGAGGGATGGAGGGAGGAAGGGAAGGAGGTACGAAGGGATGGAGGGAGGAAGGGAAGGAGGTAGGGAGGGATGGAGGGAGGGAAGGCTGGAGGCAGGGAAGGAGAGAGAAATGTGAGAATAGAGAGAGAGACAGAAAGCAAGAGAGAAAAAGAGAAACGAAGCAGTAGAGAAAACAGCAAGAGACAGGTCACAGACACAGCTGTCAGCACCTGCAAAGTAAGAAGACCCCACCAGACTCTCGTCCACTGTTCAACGCGTAACCACCACCTCATCCTACATCGACGTCGATTAGTTCTACAGCTTTAAGCATGCATGCGTTCTACCTACTGCAGTTTCACACACATGCGAACGCACCTCCATCACACGCGGACCACACGCCTGACATGCGCGCGCCACGCTCAGTAAGCCTCCCATCCCCGTAAGTAACAAAAAACAACAACAACAACAACAACAACAACACAAGAATACTACGAGAGCCCATGCTACAAAGCGCTGCGTACCACTTCGGGCCCCGTATCGAACAGCTTTCGCGTGCGGGAGAAGTGCGCTGAGTGAACGGCGAAAGCGGACAGGGGCGCGGCGGGCAGATTCTTCGGACTCGAGCCCTCTCCGATTTGGAACATCGGGCGCGCGGCGTCCGCCGGCGGGCTGTGCGACGCGAACGGCGGAGGCGTGCCGCCGCCACCCTCGAGCCGGTTTATCGGGCTGCTGGGCGCCGACAGCGCCGCCGCGACCGACCGGCACCGCACGTGCTGTGTCGCCATAGCAGCCTACAAACAAACATGAGAAAAAGCCGTGTTCACCCGTGCAGACGCGTGCGCCGAGCCGTGTCGGGGGATCGCACGCGCCCGCGACGGGCACGACGTTGAAACGACGGGATGGTTTGACGTGTGGCTCGTCACCCCGCGAGGGGGAGAGAGCTCTACGATATGCAGGGGAACGTCTACTGACAAAAGCCCCGTCTACACGAGGATTTTTAACCCGGGTTAAGCGTCTACACGAGGGCCTAACCCAGGTTAACTAACCCGGGATACGTCTTAACCCGGGTTAGTGTAACCCCGCGATGTGAGGAGGGTTAACTAACCCGGGTTAAGAGCTGTCTCGGGTTAAGCGTCGTGTAGATGCTGCTAACCCGGGATAGCGCATAGTTCCCTAACCCTGCAATAGGCGGCAATAGTGAACAATAGAACAATAGGAACGTCTCGCGTGCCAGAACCGCTCAAGCGTGGACGCTACGCATTTCTTATCCCGGGTTAAGCTAACCCGAGACTGTTCTTAACCCGGGTTAAGGAAACGTCGTGTAGACGAGGCTTAAGGAAGGTCTACACACTAGGGAACAGTCGCAAATTTACAAAATTATCCACGATTTTGTATAACGAAAAACAAAAACAATTTAACCGTAACAAAACAAGGGCAATAAACACAAATGATATTTTTACAGCACGAGCCGCCTCACACACCCAAACTCTCCTAGTAATTATCGTCTAGTAAGCATAATTGTGTAATTTGACCAACAGGTGGAGGGTGCATGCCTGCAGCTCGTACGTGACGCCAGTAGTATACTAGTGTGAGGTGCATGAGTGTGAGGTGTGAGGTGTGAGTGTAGGTGAATTGGTGCTTGCATGTGTGTGCGTGATATCAGTTGGCGAAAACCCAGACTAGCAGACAACAACACAGGTTAGCAGCGACACTCTGCTATTACAGGCAGCCACGCATCTACTATACACACTCTCTAGCAGCTATGTAGCACAAATGACCAAAGCTCCCCGACACTCTGTGTATCTCTCCTAGTAGATCCAATGCTACTTTCTCATCAAGTGAAGGGAATAGTTCGCTAATAGACACCCCACCACTACATACACTCTCTCCCACCCCACCATCTCCCACACTTTCTCCCACCCCACCTCCACACACGCTCTCTCCCACCCCACCTCCACACATGCTCTCTCCCACCCCCACCACACATGCTCTCTCCCACCCTACCACCACACACGCTCTCTCACCCCACCACCACACACGCTCTCTCCCACCCTCCTCCACACACGCTCTCTCCACTCTACCTCCACACGCTCTCTCCCACCCCCACCACCACACGCTCTCTCTCCCACTCCACCTCCACACACGCTCTCTCCCACCCTACCTCCACACGCTCTCTCCCACCCCCACCACCACACGCTCTCTCTCACCCCACTACCATCCACCCTCTCTCACCCCACCCCATCCATCCGTTACCTTATCGTGAACGTGCGTGACAAGCGTCGCCGTCAACTCGGTCACCTCCGGATACGGATCGCAGAGCAGCTGCAGGATCGCGCGCCACATGTTCTGGTAGACGTTGCCATGGAGACCGCCGATGCTGCTGAGCGCAGACGTCGAGACGGCGTGCCGCAGGTTCGAGAAGCCATGGTCGACGAGTGAGCCGTCCGAGCCGCAGCTGCCGCACGTGCTGCCACCTGCCGTCGCCTGCGTGGTCGTGCCTGCCGACGACGCGACGCGCAACGCGTTACTACGGGCGAAGTCGCGGAAATGGCAGCGGCGGCGTAGTTTTGGATGCGCGCTTCGGTGCAACGAACGTGCGACTCGTTTTCTAGTATGCTTCGCGATAGCTTACCGTAAACGTCTCAATTGTACACATTTTGGATTTTGTATGTTTTACCACCAGGCATTTGTTAACGCAAGTCAGGATGTTTTTTGCCAAGATTATTGAATTTAGCTTTACATTTTCAAGGATTTTCATGTATAACGTGGTTAAAATGTATCCAAACACGAATTTGATGTCAACTTCGAAAATGATGAGTTTTCTTGCTCATATATTCGACTTGATGGCACACTATAATAACAGTGCAAATAGGTTTCCAACATGCAACATCTCTCAATATGTCTCATACTGAAATATAATTAATCAGGCAAAAATAAGTTAAAACAGATCAGCATGAAAAACTATATATATTGATTCACAAAGCATGGAAAGAAAGATAGGACACAAACAGTTAGTTTTAAAACTGTCAGTGCACTCAAACAGATAATGCACATTGCTGCAAGTTTATGCTATGAACGTTTCACCAGACCACATCCACATCATCCACTGCACACCCAAGTCACTCATTCAATTCCTCGCCGGAGCAGCAAGAGCAACATGCAATTAGCTTGTTACATTACCTCACTAAGGCTACACGAGGATGTGCAAGAGACGATACACAGACATGGGTTAATCAAACACGTGACTGATTCCAATGTTGCCGCTGCAAATTCAGATAGTTGTTGGAGTCATGCAGCTAGCAAAATAGTGTGTGAAGTTCCAGAATTAGCTGCAGAAGAAGCAGAAACCTTTACGGAATGCTAAGAGAATGAGGATACATTCGCATATACTTACATTGCCCGTACCTTCCTATATCCCCAACTCGCACCACCGAGACTGGTGCAAAGAACAATCTCCCTCAATCCACCCTCTCAAAATCGTTTCTAGAGAAACACCCTACCAACCACCAACCCTCGTTCACTCCCCTGAGGGGTAGAGAAACAACCCAGCCACCACCATCCTCCCTCACTACCCTGAAGGGCACAGAAACCCTTCCCCACCCACCACCACCTTCCCTCACTACCCTGAAGGGCACAGACACCCTTCCCCCACCACCACCTTCCCTCACTACCCTGAAGGGCACAGACACCCTTCCCCCACCACCACCTTCCCTCACTACCCTGAAGGGCACAGA